CAATTGCTGAGTTAAATGGCAGTAAAGAAAACAGATCTTTGGAGTGGGGCTGCACCTTGTGAGCTAAATTTCTAGTTATTTTCTCATCTGCTATTTGAAAACTCAGAGCCAGGTATTGGAGGGAACCCCATTAACAAACTATTCCCTAGTTAAACAGGCATCTGTCTACCAAAGGTAATTAAAAGTGAGGAGGGTCCTAAACTTAGATGCAAATATTTCTGATCTGGCTAAATCCTATATCCTGTGAGGCCCTCAGTTTATTCATCCTGAAAATGGAAACAAGAAATACAGAAATAGTTGCTAACGAAAGCTTAATTGCCCCTGGCAGAAATACACATATTAATTGATAACCACATATTTCTAGACCTTGATTTATATTGTTCCATTAACACCCCAGATCCCAACACTTAGGTTCCAAAGATCCCACTGACTTTTTGTCTCCAACCAAAACACCAAACAACATTTGGGGAATCACTGTAGCTAACTCCAGAAAAGAGCAGCCAATTCCCTAACTCCCAAAGAAGGTAGGATATATTCTTCTGAATCTCACTTGATTTCTCACCAGATTGACACTAAATCTTTGTGACAATAATGTTCTCAAGGCTACTACTCTTAACAACTTGTTTCTCTCGGACCACCAAAGGATAAAATGTTCCTGATGCCATCGCCTAAGATAAACACCCTTCTTCCTCAAGCTCTCTCCCACCCCGCCACTTTTAATTGACTACTTGGCTGCTCCCTGGGTGTGACTGCAGGGATCTGTATCCTATGTAACTAAGATGGAAGTGTCTTCCTGATGTTAAGTACCTAACAAGAAGGGCAGCTGCATACAGAGTGGACTAAAACTACGTCGCAGCAGTGATGGAACCCTGGCAACCTGTGACACACTAATCTTCTACTTGAGAAGACTGGTCTATGATCTCAGGGATAGAGTCTAGCTCTTCAACTCAAGGTCTGTCGCACAGAACGGGTAAACTGCTGGAGGACTAGGCAGGGGGAAACTAGACGGCAGGTTTCAGTGGAACGATTCAAATAATCGTGACCTGGCTGTTTTTCAAAAACGTCCAAGTACATCTATCCTCCCTCTCCATGAATATGCATATGGGAACAACAAGAATAGTTCCAGGTTGTTAAGTATAAAGGGGTCTGCAATGTATTAAAGCTTGTAGAAGTGTTACATCTCTGTTTGTGACACAAGTTAACTATTTTTGACAAACACTCTCAAATTTAGAAACATGTCATGGTTCTAAAGATCAAAGCAAAAGAAAGATTCTTCCAAAATTACTGTGCCATTACTTCTGCAATCTGTTTAATCTCAAGAAGCCACATATCTATCTGCCTGTAACTCAACCACCAAGAAATATTAATCATAATCTGAAAAACAATGTAAAGTTTGATAGTGTTATGAAACCACAAATAACACTATATTCTTGCCTTTCAATACCTAACTTTCTAGGGTTTATGATAGTTAGGGACTTCAAATGGCAAAACAGATTCCTACTGTGGTAAGGATTACCATTGCCAAATTTAAAAATAAGGTTCATACACTCCAAACCAATTTTAAGCTCACTCTACAACTCATCAGCAATCTGAATGATACTTTCTATTTTTCCAAATGGCCTTCCTCAGACATAGAAATCTTAAATTTTATTTCTAATTTAATGACAATTTTTCCTAGAGTTTGACTTAGAAGGAACCACCTCCATGGCATTTACCAACAACAGAAGGGCAGGCTTCCCTTTCTTAGTGGTCTATTAAGTGATTTAGGAGATCCAAGGAGGAAAAAGAAACTTAAGAATCATTTTCCAGACCGAAAACTACTGCACGTATTGTAAGAAAAGACCTGCTGGAATCACTTTTTTTTTTAAAGCCAATACCCCACCAGGGTTCACTGTCTAATAATAAATTACTGTCAGGTGCTTATCTGCCTGACTAAAGGGGTTTCCATTTCTCAGTTTACTTGAATGCATGCGCTTCTGCCGAGGAGACTCATACCATACACTGATGTTTGGATTACTAAATCTAAACAGAGTGACCTACTTAATTATGCTGAGGATCTCTAAATGTTGTAGCTTTCACAGCACCCTAGCTTTGTGTACTTACTTTGCAAAGTCATAATGGGTTGTTTTGTGGTTTGTTTGTTTTTTAATTCTGAGGAAACTTTTTAAAAGATCTTAGTTTCCATTATTTTACCTGACAAAGTTAACTTCTATAACAGTTATTCAAACCTTAATCAAATAACAGAATGAGAAAGTTCATGAACACAAGACCAATTAATAGCGTCCAGTTGACTTGAACTCTTTTTGCACCTGATTCAACTCAAAGTGTTAAATATTTTTGTCTAGCCAGCAAACAAAATTATAGCGGAACTAGGGATGCCATCAACTGATTGCTATTTTTTCAAAGTTTGTTTTTAAAAGGATCAAATTACTCAAGCAGAAAAAAATTATACTAAATCTATCTGTCAGAAACAACAGAAACATTTTGAAAGGGCAATTTTTTGCAAAGCCTTTGTGAAGTCACTAAAGGGATTCCCATGATCTAATATATGGAAGGCTTTAGATGTAACTGTAAACCTACTGAAGGTGCATGATCTGAAAGTAGGGATCATTGTAGCTAGTTTTTATAGGTTTAATTCCACTGGCAAATCGAGGTCTATATTTTACATCTCAATGAGAGCAAATTTCAAAAGAGACCACACGGAGAAATAGGACACTGGAATAATGGAGCGGAAAAGGTGCTGCCACCCCCCACCATTGTCCCCAAAGTGCATGATCACAGAGAGCAAAAGATGGGGCTCCTCCAGCCCACAATGCATGTGCAACTCATTCTACAGTCACAGAAACACTCATGAAATCTCTTTCCCTCAGACTGAACACTTACTCAACCTCAACCAATGACTGGGTTGCTGTTTTCTAAGGCTATTTATTATTCGTTTTCTGGCATGTTTTCTTCTATGAGCAAATTCGAGGACCGATACAAGCCAGGAAAAGCTGCCTTCACGTCAGCGCTAGACAGAGTCAGCTCAAGTTCTGCCAGCGCTAAGCTGCACCCAGGTGCTCAGAGTCCTTCTGGTTTTGTCCCAGGAATCTCACCAACAAAGTGTCTTAGTTCAGTGTGTGCTGGGATATGCACTGAGATTTGAAATTGAAAGGGGAGCTGGGTTTTTCCCCAGAAACTTTAGTTACTGCAGTAAATTACACCTCATACCTGGCTTTCAATACTGTATCTTCCTAATATTTGAGAGACTGTTACTTATTTCTAAAGGGCAGCTTATCAATTTATATATTTTCATCTGAAGGACGAAGACTGTTCTCAGACTTAAAAATAAAACTAGTATGTTTTATATGAAGTTGTAGCATATCCTATATACGTATTCAAAATAAGACTCAGCATGTTTTCTCTATCCAATTAATACAGACCTTAATCCCAGTATCCAGTCAGTTCTGACTGACAGCTTGTAATCTTTCTTGCCAATGGAGACTGATAGAGCAGCTTGCTGCAGTGAAGTTGACAGGCTCAGAAACCCTACAAGGCAGTCCTAGTCAGAGTCAATACACATTGGAATCAACTCAATAGGAGTGGGCTTGGTCTGTCGGTGGGAATCCTTCCTCAAGCACATCCTCACATCTTTCTTCTGCATGGCAGTCATAAGTGTGAACCTCTGACCTTTCAATTAGCAACCCAGCACTCAAACACTGCACCACCAGGACTGCTTGTCACATTCAAATTTACAAATCTCAGAATCAAGCTGATCTCTCTTGTTCAATTACTTGTGTCTGGTCTTACGCATTTCTTGGTTTCTGTTTGGGTTTCTCTTTCTAGTCCAATATTGCAAGCCTTCCCATGAGCTAGCAAGTCTAATTCCACTTTATGGGCAAAATTACCCTCAAAAAGATATTAGTTAATACAATACTAACTCTATTTAAATGAAGAACAACTTCTTTTAAAAAAAAAACAAACTGCATACTGCATTCCCATTTACTGACTGCTCTACAGGGCTATCAATGTAAACAGCATAAAGGAGAAAACTTCAGGCATAGAGGGCCTCAAATAATTTTACTTGAGTACTGGGAGGGGGAGATCTATGACAAACTAATGGCTCCTCACTTTTTTCATGTAAGTATGATCGAATTAAGAATTTCTGGCATGCCATCTCATCTATACAACAAACATTGAATTTTCACCTCCAACTAAAAATACAGCAAATTACTGATAAAAACAGCTTTGACTTCTTTTTCATTTTCTGTGCCTGTGGTTCTCTACAGCCTAACTGCTCATAAAACCAAGGCACTTACACGCTCCAAGATTCTTCCATGTCTTTTGGTTTTATGTGCTACGTAAACCTACGTTCTCTTTCTCTTCCCTACGGTCTTTGCTCTTGTGAAAAGCGGGGAGCGGGTTTAAGGACTTTTTGGTTTGTTGTTATCTTTTGTATTTTTAATAATTTAAATTATTTAAGGCCGGCTCTCTCGGCTGGTGCCACAAGTCAACGTGCTTAACTTCTTCCCTAAAGCAGGATCAGATGCGTTTCAGCCAAATTCGGTGTACCCTACATATTGCTGAGAAACTCCTGGTACTGACTTGCTCATAAACCTCCCAGAGTTGGCAGTCAAGATGAGAACCAAACCACCAAGTGACGTGGAAACTCACCATCTTACTTCCCAAAACAATGACTTAGACACTTAAACCAATTCAACCATTTGAGCTTTGGTTTCTAACTTCTAAACCACAACCAGGAAGAAAAGAAAAAAAAAAAAAAGCAGGCATCCGGGCGTCCGGAGCGGTCCCTTATCATCGCGGTGCAGTGTCCACCTCTCTGTCCAATGCACTAACTCTCCTCATCCTTAGGGCGTTGACCGGGCACCTTCATAGTGGCCCTATAAACGATCAGGCCCAGTTCCCTAGCAGGGATGGACAGAAAGAACTCCCAGGCCCCTGCCATCGGAGAGCTAGGGCCCTGGTGGCTGGCCACTCCGCACCCACCCACCCCGTCTTACCCGTGCACGAGTGCAGGGGTTTGGGCCGGACAACCAGCGACGGGCACACCGAGTAAAGCGACAGTTTCTCGAAGTAGTCGCAGGTCTCTTTGGAGAGGATCTCGTCGATCATGAAGGTCTTGTAGCGCCGCCTGGCTGCTTTGAGCTGGCCGGGAGAACTCAGCCGCAGCTCGGCGTGGCAGTGCATGGCGAGCGGCCGGAGACTGCCGGGGCTCCGCGCTCCTGGGCGCCGCGTGCGGCAGGCGGGCTCGGAGGCGCGCCGAGGGACTAGCTCCGGACGCGCCCTCGCGTTCTACACCCGCCCGCACAGGAGCATCCTCGCCGAGCCTTTTGGGTCCGCGCAGCTGTCAATCAGCGCGCGCTTCCTGCGGGACGACGGGCTGCGCGGCCGGCGTGGGGCGCGAGGAGGGCCGCGGCCTCGGGCGTCCGCCCCCGCCCAGAGCCGGCAATGAGCGCGCCGCCTCCCGCCTCCCGCGGTCTAACGCGGCGCTCACCGGCTCTATTATAAAACGCTCGCCCGGCTCCCCTTTCCACCCCTCCCGGGACCCGCTCCAGGTGTGCATCCAGAGTGCGCGCGCGGTGTGCGCGCCGGGTCCAGGGAGCGCGCGCCGTCCCGGCCCTGCCTAGTCCTGCTCCTTGTATCCCTCTGCGTCCTCCGTGCCCCTGCGTCCCTCCCTCCGAGCTCTGGGCACTGCATCTCCCCGAGTCCCTCCCTCTATGCTCCCTGGGCACTTGGTGCCTCGCGCTCAGCTGCCCCTGACCTCTAACAGGCCGCCTGGTCCAGGTTTTGGAATTAGGGAAGTCCCGGCGCCCCCAAGGCCAAGTCCACCCTTCTCCCAGCTCGCTCCAGCCAATAGAGCCCGCGGCCAACGTGCCGGTTCTGGGGACCCTCTACATGCCTGGGCCCCGAGGCTGGACGTTTTCTCCGAAGTGACAAACTTGACTATCTGACAGAATCCCTCAAACTAAGTAACCATTACCTTCCCCGTTATCCTAATAATAAACCGTAAGAAAAACACTTGTGCTGCATAAGTTCCTTTTATTTCTTTTCGTTTCGTTTCTTTTTAACGCTCTTTAAAACATTTTTCCACACCGGGAAGCGCCCGAGCCGCACAGCTTCGGGATCGGCACTGACGCCTAGATCGCCTGCCCGCCCGCCGGCCCAGTTTTCGTCCCGCGGGCCCGGGAGTGGGCGAGGCGCCGTAGAGCCCCCGGTTTCCCTCCCGCCGCCTCTCTCCCCTCGCTACGAGTCTTAGCCCTCGCTACGGACCCTGACTACCCAGCAGGAACTGTCCGTGTTGAAGAGGGACCAGAGGCTGGGCCCTCGGGAGACGTGGCACCTGGGGCGGTGTCCGCAGCGCTCTGCCCCGAGTCGGTGTGCGCAGTTGGGAGGAGTGCGCTCTAGGGCAGCCAACGTACAGCCTCGGGTAGCTCGCGGTCCGAGGCTGCGCTGGGGCGGGTCGTGGTCTGCAGCGCCCCAAACTCACAGGGCCGAAGCAGGCTGCTGGAGGGAGTTGCCAGCGGGATAGCTGGGCTGGGGCGCACCTGGAGCGTTGCTACACCCCAGGAAAGGGAGACACCTGATAATAACTAGAACTAAAAACTAGAGGTAAATGCATCTAAATAGATCAGAACAGCGAGTATCACATGTGTCCACGGTGCTGCACACCAGCAGCTCTCTTCCCAAGTGTATCCGTGCCCAGGCCCTCCTCTGTGCCACTCTTTGGAAGTTTTTATCTTTTCTTTCTCCAGAAAGATGCAGCTCAAAGGCCGACTGATGCGGGGCCAGGTGTCTCGCCAGAGAGCCGCGCGGGACGGGGACGCAGTTCCCCTGTCGGAGCTCTTTCTGCAAGTCACCCTGTCACAGCAAGGGTACCGCTGCGCACAGTTTCAGGGATTCCGTGTCCTCTAGGAGAACCACTTCCAGTTGGGAAGTTCTGCCTGACCCCAGAAAAGTGAAGAGCTGTAAGGAGCCACAGAGAAACCCAAGGGCGGTCCGAGATCTAGAGGCAAGGGGCACATCCCCAAGGGCCAAGCGGGCTGAACAAGAACTTGCGGCGCTGTGGCGCTGCCCCCGAGCCACAGCGTGTCCCCAGACATCGTCACAGCCTCTACTTTCATCTAAGGCCCCCCAGAAGCCGACAGGACTGCGCACTACGTGCCGGGGAGCGTTGCTGTAAGGACCTATGTGTCTTCTCTTGGAACCTGCCTTCCACACACCCTTTTTTCCCTCTTGTATCTCTCGTGCCTCTTTCCCCATGCCTTCCACCACCTAAATGACCCTTTTTCTTTCCGCGTTTCCTTTCCACCATGGTATTCATTTCGCTAAACGAGCGTCCTACCTGTTGAACTTCCTTTTTCTGACCTCAATTTTCCTTTATCTTCACCTCTATGTACCATGCGTACTCATCTTTTTCTTTCTCCCTTTCTCCTTTTATCCCTCCTCTTTCCCTTTCTCCTAGTCCCTCTCTGGAACGCGTCCCCAGCCCTGAGGTGCTCTGAGCGGTGGCCACACTGGAAAGCTGTGAGGAACCCAAAGTTGCGTCGCCCTAGAGCCCTCATTCTTCCCCATTCCAATCTGTAAAAGGAGCAAAATTTGCCCAAACTTCAGCCAGACTTTTAATTAACTCGAAACGCAAAGAACACCAAGCCTCCGATTCCGACTCCGCTTCCTTGGAGTGTCCATCTCCAGAGGCAAGAATTTTCAGAGGACAGAGGTCTGAGGTGGAGGGATTGACTCCGGCTGCAGATTGAACCCGAGGCTTCTCTGGCTTACAGACTTGAGAAGGCTTAATATAACTTGCCTCTGGAAACTCTGTGAACTTTGAGAAACGACGATGGTTATATATAGAAAGGCTTCAGGTCTTTTGTTCATGAGGTCGCTATGAGTTGAGCTAGTCTCAATGGCAATCAACAACAACAACAATATAAATTCAGCCACTGTTTTTTGTTTTTGTTTTGAAAATTATAATCGTAAACCTACTTCACAAAGTTGAAGGACCTCCACACAAGCTGCTTCCATTAATAGGAATGTGCTCGGAGCTTCACCCTCCCTGCTGTCTGCTGGAGAAACTAGTCTCAAATGTCGCCTCCTCAGTGAAGTCTTTGTCCCTCCGCAGATCGGTGAACTGTGGTCCCCACCTCTGGGTTAGCTTTTCTATTATATGCTGGGGTCTCTGTGTTTATTTCACACTAGCTGGTCCTTGTACTCCTGGTGGGCTAACCCTGTGGGTTATCTTGTATCAGTCACAGCAGCATAACACATAACTGCATTCACAAGGAAGCCAGCCGGGGACGCATAATGAAGACATGGAAGCTGGGATCGTTAAGTTGCACAATGTGTGCTGAAGACAGCACATAACGGGACGTCATATCTAAAAATGCAGCTCTACAATTGTCTTTCTCTATCAGTGGATCTCTTCCCCTCACCTTTCTTGGAATGTTTACGTTGTTGAGCAATCACAGCTATTCGAATTCTTCTTGTTTCCATTTGTTACTCCTTCTCTCCAACTGCAAAGGGCTCTGTGGTAGGATGCACACCCCAGCTGTCAATCCAAAGTGGGCCTTCCCTCAAGAATAATCAGGGGTTTTGTTTCCAACATTAATGAAGTGGCTGGAACAGCAAAACATCTGCCGACGGGACTCAAACCTTTTCCAGCTGCTGAGACCCACAGACCCTCCATCCCATTGCTCTTGACAGAGCAGCGGGCAGTGTTTGTGCCCAAGCCTCCATCCGGGTCAGCCCACTGGGGTGGGGGGGGGGTGGGGAGCTGGGCAAGCACACACACCTTCCTGCGGCCAGCCTGCGTACCTGGTTCTGATTGCTGGACATACAGCCCAGCCTGTGAGCAGAGGACAGAACACCTTCACAAAGGGACAAATGGAGAGATTCTAACCACTAGCAACCAAAGAACCTTTTTGTTCCATTTCAGCTCTCAATCAACTAAAACTTTTAAAAAATTAATAAAATGATTTCTAAAAATTCTAGATAATAGTTAAATGGCCCTTAGGATCCAAGCTGAGCTGGACTCTGCTTGGTTTTTAATTTAACTAGCCATTTATAAAATCTTGCGATGTTTTGGTGCAGATATTCAGAAGCAGCCAGAACCTAAGGTTTATAAAACACATTATTTTTTCCCCAACTGTCTTTTCTCCAAAGTGGAGGAGGTAACAAGAGATGATGAAAGTATTTCTTGCATTCTAGTGTCCTGTATTTAATAACTTGCATTTCAGACTTTAAGTTGTGAAATAGTTTCAGACATGTGAAAGCAAAATACAGAGAGCCTGGTAAGTTAATATCCCCTTGGGCCCCAGGCCCTGCCAAACCTCCGCATGGGGAGCCCAGCACACTGGCCCAAATTGCAAGAAGCAGAGGGAGGTAGATGAGACCAGGTTATTTTTAATGAAGATATTAATTTACAAAAACTGTAAAGCATCATTTAAAGAGAGGGCATAAATGCAATCCATTTGACAAATGGGCTTGGAAAAGTCTAAATAAATCCTTCTGTCCATTTCCGAAACATCTTTGTGAAAGGAAAGTTTAAAACTGAGGGAAGGGGGCAAGGGGAAGACAATAGCTGTGTCTACAGAAGACTGAACTTTACCATCAAAAACGCAGCCAATCATCTAGCTGGCTCTATTTAAAAAAAAAAAAAAGCTGGTTTGCAGATTAAGCCAATTTGTTTTGCTGCTTATTTCCTCTTTTAATCGGTCTATTCTGACATCAATCAGCTGTTTGTGTGCCACTCATATGTGTGCTTCAGTGGCCCCAACTAACAAAGCCAGAAAAGTCAATTCATTCTTTTCTGCCTTTGTTTTAATGTTGTGTAATAGGTATGAAAGTTTGGCGCGTTTTATTCTCCCACATGATAACCTTTCACTAAAGAGAAAGCCGCCAAAAAGAGAAGAAATACTTGTAAATCTGTAGTGGAGATCCTTCTGTCTGGAATGAATAGGAAGAGCTTTTGAATCAGGTAAGCCTGTGTTCTCTTCTCAGTTCAAGCATCAGCCTTCTCTCCAACTGCAGGTTTTCAGTTATAATATGCGGGTGAGTGACTCACTGCCATCAAGTCAGAATCAACTTACAGCTTACCCTCCAGCAAGTTTTCAGAGGCTGTCCATTTTACTGGAAGGAACTGCTCATTTTTTTCCTGCAAAAAAGCAGGTGGATTTGAACCACTCTCCTTGGAGATG